AGAAATCCTTAACCAGAAAGAAGTGGATTAGGGAAACGGACGCATCCTTAAAAAAGGTTGAATGGAGTCGAGCTGATAAAGTGAGCTGCAATTTTAATGGTTGTTCATTAACCATAACATTATTATTTGCTCGTAATGCTAGATACAGAGCAAGGAGCAGTTTGTTTCCACAGGAGTTAAGGAAGTCTGCCAAGGGTTCTCTTGTGTAGGTGATTACTGTATTTTCACCGATAGACGTTTCTCTCCTTTTATACCCACATAATCAGAAGAAGGTACTTCTTTTCCAGTTACAAGGCTTTTTTTTTTTTCCCCACAATTACCTGTACTAAAGGTGCAGGGAATATGTGAGCTGCTTTTATTCTTCTGCAGAGTTATTTAGGTCAGACTGTCATCAAGTCTAATGTTATTTTGTTGGGACATATCTATTCTGCAGCTCAGAACGTGCACAGGTGTACCCCAGTTAATTTTAGTTTAGGTAGGCTGAGTATCAGTAGCAGCGATGCCACAGTTATGTAGGCTTCAGCCTGACCTGTAAAAGTCATTGGACATCACCTTAAATGTTTGGATAAATAAAGGGACAGTCCATAAGGAAGTCCTTGCTACTTTGTCCTTGTAGGCAAACAAAAGCTGTCTGTTTACCTGCATCAGTTTGTCCTCTCTGTGTAATGTAGACATGATGAATAGGTCCAACAGTATCACCAGTAACTTTTCTGTTTGCTTAGTTATGGAAAATACTAGAGATGACCACATTTGCTTAAATTTTGTGTCTGCTTAAAACAACTACTTGTGCATTTGCTACAGATGTCTGAAAGTTGGGGTTAAGTTCAGACTGCAGCCTGTCTGCAGAGCACTCGATTATCACAGATATGAAAAGGAAATCAATTGAGTAGTAAGAAAATGGAATATTATAGTTACCATTGTTAGGAATATTAAAATTGATATTTTAAGATTCTTTTCTCCATCTACCAGCCAACTGAATTTATTTTAATGGAAAAAATTGTCTTATATAATTGCTTACCTTGGGAAACGAGCATTTGAGTGATACAGATTTATTTTTTTTAATTCTTTATTTTTTTATTGCACAGATAACAGATGTACTGAGGAAGTATACTGTCATGCTGGAGGAAGTTTCCTTCTTCTTCTTAGCTGATGTTTACAGGTTCATAAACAATGAAGCTATGGTAAGTCTTTCATATTGAGAGTCTGCTTTTCCTGGGAGAAGATAGCAACCTGAATAGTCCCAGAATGTCTTCCCCCCCCCCACCAAATGAAATTCATTATTTCTAACTTATCAATTGCTGCAATATAGGAGAGATTTCTTTTTTCAAAGTATTCTTTATAGTTTTTATTCTTTTCCCCTTGTTTTACATAGAATGGGTGCTTTTTTTGAGATGTTATATGCTGCTTTTATTCCTGTTTTTGTTTTTTAAAACACAGTTGATTAACAGAGCACTGTTGGCTAATCAGAGGGCAGTTGCCAAGCTATTCGTTAATCTAATGAAAACAGAGTTGAAGAAGGAACTATCATATCGATTGAAATGGCAAGATAGAGTCAAGGACTGGAAGCTCATCCAAAGGAACAATATAGTTCACAGGTTCAGGTCAGAAATTTTTCAATTATATTGTGGAGTATGAATAACACAAAGTAACTAGTGTTCACTTGTGTTTTTCTCTAAACAGTAATATTTTATCATTTTTCCATTATGTAACTAAAATCTTGGCATTCTTTTTTTACCTTGTATGTATAAAACTTATTTTGTGCTTGTATTTCAAACATGAAATTTTCCCGAATGATATTTAGTTTGCGGTATTCTTCCATCCTACAGAGAATTTATGGCAAGCGAAGAAATACAGAATCCCCCAACTGTGAAAACAGAAATGGAAAATATGATAAAGGATCAGATTTTACTTAATGAAAGGAGACTGGAGCTTTTGCAGCACCTTGGGTATGACAAAAGTGAGAACAGGAACAAAGGGAAATACAACTATAGAGTTAATGAGGGATTTTACTACAAAATGCACTTTGCTCCCTTTCAGAGTGCAATTGAACAATACAGCAGAAAGGCAGAACCTAAACTTCTTTTGTAAACTCCTTTTAATGGACAAAACGCTATTCTTGGTTTTCAATGCACCAGTTACACTAAATAAGGGGTGATCAAGAGCTAGAATTGCAGCAATACAAAAGTAAACTAACATTGGAAACGGTAGAAAAAGGCAGACAAGGATGGGTAAATAAGCAAAAATTAGTGATCTTGTCAAGGCATTCTTTCTGGGTGGGAATTTAATTTGTATAATAAATAAAGAAAGAAGTCTTGATAGAAATCTAACACTGCTATGTTTGAATGTCTACCCTGATAACAGGAAGATGGTTTCAGTGCAATACATTATAATATTCACAGGTTTTCTTTTATAGTGTATTTAACAACAAGGTAAATTAAAATTAATTGCATGTCAGTAAACAGTGGCCTTGAAAAACAGCAGTAATCCTGTTTTATTTTCAGCAATAGTATGGTTACTCTGATAAATTTATCTTCTAAGAAGTGACTGGATTATATTTTAAGATATCTGACTCTTGTTTGCTATTTCATAGTGATCTGTTGCCTCCAACACACACAAAAGCTGAGGTAGATGAATGGTACAGCTCTTTGGTCAATTTAAACAAAAGTATAGGTAAGTCAGAAAATCGTAAAAACAGTCTGGAATTCAAGCAACACTTCTTTTTTCCAAGCTATAATGAGTTAGACTGTTGCTTTGAGAGTATACATTCGCCATACTCTTTGTTCTGTGTGTTTCCATGTACCATCCACTGCTTTGAGCTAGCAATGCAACCAAAATAATCTGTCCATTGCATCATCACCCTTTGGCCAGCACAAACTTTTTTGCATGGTGAGATCTAGCAGGAATTGACTTGGTTAGAATTAATCTGGGGAAAATGGAAGGTTAATTTTAATGCAGATCAGTTCTCAATCCTACAAAAATACCTCTTGGAGAATGAGAGAGGAAGTGTTTGAGAGACTTCCTTTCTCTCAGTCCTGTAGTGTGCCTTCCTCCTGTGTAGACACACAGAAGACGCCTTCTCTTTCTCCAAGGCACATGTTAACAATCTTAGTTAACGGTCTTCATGTTTGTATCCTGTGTAGTAGCAAAGAAGTTGCTAGCATTTGTAAATAATTCACTATTTTTAAGTACAATAATAAAAAGATCTGTATTAAAACATCTTATTTCACTGGTGGTGTGCTAGTGTGAAGACACTACTGGGATATGTTATCAGTGCTGAGACTCAGCACAGGTCTTCTATCATGTTTCCATTTCACACTGCACTGTGAAATACAGAAATCTTTACAATGACCTATTGTTCCATATCCTTCAGATACCCACAACGTGCAGTGTATGATGAAAATTCGCATCCAGTATGAGATGGTCCAGCAAAAATGTTTGGCAGAAATGCAGCTGTGCAAGGTTAGTATCATAGCTCTGTGAATTCTTGAAAGGACTGCTGGTAACGGTATACATTGTCTTGTTATATATCCACCTAACATTGAGATAACTAGTGAAAATACTTCTTAACCTCTATTTTATTCCAACTGAAAACTTACTGTCCATGTTCTTTCACAGTAGCATGTGGTATTTGTACTTGAAATGTGTAAACGCTAACAAATGCCAGTAATGAAAGGAGTACTGTCCCACATTTAGGTAGAGAACTCTGGGTCAGAACCCTCATTCCTAGTCCCAGATCTGTCTTATCTAAGGAAAGAAAGTCCACCTCTCTGCCTTGGTTTCTTCCTTTGTGTCCAAATAGAATTGTACTGCTCACTGCCTGAATGTAAGATCTAGGGGGTTAAATCTTTTTTCATCCGTTCACAAGAAAGAAGAAACACTAAGTTTAGTCATACTCTTTAAAAACCACACAATATTTTGTTATATGCAAGTCAATAACTTTGCATTCTTTTCATTTAGAATAACCTGTTGAATCTGAATGTTTGCACAAAAAAGGAGGCTGAAGAAATTGTGAATTCTGACTTTCTTCACTTGACTGAGAAACTACAAAGTCAGTTTGAAGAAGAACTGGAGCATATGGACGTACGTTCATTACATCTATTTTTATTACACTCTGGGAGTAGTCTGTTCTCCTGCACTACTGCCAGAAATGCCATGTGCCTCTTAGGCCGTTCATGTCACATTAGAAAGAGGTCCATAGTGTCACCTAACACCTGCCCCACAAGTAAAAAAAGTTTTGTGTGATTCAAGAGAAGAGTTCTTAGTTGTTTGTTTTGTATTTATAATAGGTTGTCAGAGATGAATTAGGTATAGTTAATCCTGCCTGGAGGCTGAGGAATAGATTTAAATGATCTCACAAATTTCTTTCAATTCTACTTTTTCTGTACATGAAAATGACTGGGCAGTTGTTCCTAAAATGATAGATGGCCAGATACGTTAGGGCATATGCAGAACTTGATGATTCTGTGCTTTAAAGTACCAGAAGAAGAAACAGAAGTTTTGATATCACAGCTTCTAGAACAAAAATCTACATTCTTATAAGGTTTACTTGGACTGCTTTTTCTTTTCCAAATAGAAGAGACCACGAAGAATACAGACAGTGTACTTCCAGACAGCCTTTGATCATGTCTTATGTCCTCTTACTCATTTATTGCACTTTTCAGCAAACAGTTTAATAATAACCATTTCACTTAAGTGTGTTTCTTTAGAGAGACTTTGAGGAGCTGACTAAACAGAATGAGCAGAATTGTGGAGACTTGTACAGCTATTTTCAGGAGGCCATGGGTCTCTGGGATGTCCATCTACGCAAACTGTCCCAGCAGGAAGGTGAACTTCAGAACTTAGATGAAAACAACTGGAAACAGGATCACTCAATACAGGTATGCACATAAAAATCAGAATGTGATATGGTGTAAAGACAATTCAAAATACCAGGTATAAAATGTAATCTTTGACATTTATACTGAAATTTCTACAGGATAGTTTCTTTCTGTCAGGTACTTTTTTTTTTTAACTGCTTGATTCACACAATGTGATATCAAGAACTGTAACACTTATAAAGAAAATTATAGCTTTTGAGGCTAACACAGCTTGGAGAAATAACGCTTAAGAGTTAACAGGATAGCAATTATTTAGCTGAAGCAATATATCTTAGGTCACTGTGTAAAGGGAGGTAGGCTACAGACAGTTCCTGATAAGGCCAAGGACATCCTGCCTGAAGCTCTTACAGCTTCTGATAACAAGAAGAACATTGCAGCTGGCTTTAGGAGAAACACTAAGGGTCCAGGGAGCATGCGCAAGGAACAAAGGTGAAGAGCTTAGTAGGGAAAAGGACTCCCCGAGACCCCAGCCTAGGGAAAGGGACTCCCCGAGACCCCGGCCCACCACCACCAGGAGGTGCTGCGCAGGCGTGACCGGACTTCTCAGAAAAAGACCGCCTATTTGGGGAAAGGCTATGAATATGCATAGATGTTTTTGCATAGTAATGAATATCCAACACTTTACTGTAAAAAAGCTAAGACAAGCCGTGCAGAAGGTGCACATGAATTCGGAGGAAAGATCCCCTGTGTGCCAAGTGTGCTTAATAAACACACCTATTTACAACCTTACCGGTTGTGGAGTCTTCTTTCCGCAGGTCAAATGTACAGCCATATCTTATTCTTGATATGGCAATGGTGATAGAGATTTTATTTTATGCATTAAGTGGCTGCAAGTGTCTATTACTTATAAGATCTTGTGCAGCTATAGTGTCTTGTTTGTATGTCAAGTTCTCATGGGTATAATGTGCAACTTGGGGTGGCAAAATCAGAAATGTTGGTCACTATCTAAGAAAGATCTTCACAGCAGATTAATTTTGGTATGGTAGCTTCCCTTCTTGGTGTAGAATATATGTACATAATTAAATTATCTGAATCTTAAATAGTTATGAATCATTTTAGTAATTACTAAATCATTTTTACTGGGTTCTTTTTATGTGGCCTTAGAAGATGGAAGCTAATCTGGATATAAACGTGGGTAAGATGAGAACAGCAAACTCTGAAGTAATGCTGAAGAAATATTTGGAGAACGTCCTGTCCTCTTTAGATGGCATTAGAGCTAAGTATGAATTTTGTAGTGCAAACTTAACAAGTAAAGCATATTTGAATATTGGTTGTACTACTTAGGTCTTGTTTATGCTGTAGTGTGAAGGTGTGAAAAACACTGCTTGCTACTTCATGTAAGAATGTAAACTGAAATAATTTCCATGTTGAACATGGTTAAGGTAAATAATACCCACGTTTTAGAAGTAGGACTAAGGAAGATTAACAAATGCTGGTATCATTTAAAAAATATACCAGATGAGTATTATTATGTAGTATACCATGTCATCCATGCCAATGAATATTTATTTATTCAGAAGGTAAAAGTAGTAGTTCAGAGTCTTGAATTGCAGGGGTCAGAAAGTAGATCTGTGTCATCACCCATGCTCTGGGCTCGCAGATTTGATCTCTTTCAAAGTCACAAGGACTAGAAGTTGCTAATAATGTTCAGATAGCCAAAGTATATATATTTTGGTGATCTTTCCCTTATGTTTCTCATGATCAGGCATTTGCATTTTTAAAAAAACACAGCAAAATCGGCACATACCACTCTTCTTGCCAAAGATCTTGGGAAAACATTCGATGATTAAGCAGCCAGAGAAGAAGCAGTTATATTTTCACACCCAGAAGGCCTTTTCTGTCTGTTAGATGAGCACATTAGAAGAGTGATGTTGACCTGAGAGGCAGATACACACACATGCACACACCTCACATTGTAACTGCATAGAGCTGTTGATTCAGTACTCTTTATATTCATTAAGATAATTTAAAAGGAAAATCCAAAAGTAATGTACCTTTTTATATGAGTGAAAACACAGTGAGAGGTTGCAGAGATGGAACGTCATCTATCTGAACATTTGGACACATACATACATTCCCCTGAATTAACTTTGTATAGAAGACAAAGCAAATACAAATGTAAATTAAAACAAGTGTGAGTGATGACTTTCTTGAATCAAGACTGAGCTTGAACCATAAGTTTTCATTTCCAAGTAAAATGAAAATAAACCAGAAAAGCTTCAGTTGCAGCTGAGCTTGATACAGAACTAATGTGAAGGACAGTAATTTGACCTCTTGCTTTGAATATTCCTTATGTAAGCATAGGTCTTGAATGGCTTCTCATCCAAAATGAAAGAACTGAAATACTTTATTATGAATATTTCTTAACTTCTCTGCTTTTATGTATTTGTAATGAACTAATCTCTACTAACAAGCCAGGATGTGACTGTATTCAACCTAAACAGATGTAGTACAACGTTTTGCTAAAGGATTTATGAGATTGGTCAAAAAAAAAAAGTTTAGATTTAGATTTAAAGACATTGTAGTCATATTTCATTTTATTTTTATGTATAGTTGAGTCTCTTAAATAGTGACCTTAAATTTGACAGGTATGAAACATACAATCAAGTTCTAATGGATGAAGTAATGGCTTACCCGGAAGTCATTTTGCAGGAATTTATTTCTTATAGTACATCCATCAGCCAATATTTTCATGTAAAGGAAATATTCAAACAGGTATGAAGAAAATAATCTTCTTCTGGTTTTAAATGTTACTGGTGTATTAACTTTTCATTTTTGGGAAAATTTACATTAGCTTTTAAATTTAGATTGTATAACCTAAAGCATTGTTTTGGCTATGGGACTGCCGTGCTTTTGGTAGAAATGAAGGAAGTACAAAACCTTTCTCTGTCCCACACTTTTAACTGTCCTTGTTATGAACTGCATTTCAGTGAATTTGCTTGCCATGTGAGAGAGAAAAATGCAAATTAACAAAATTATATTCGTCAGAGTGTTATTGCTCCTTCAGATAATAAGTGATCCATTCAAGACCATCGTATCTTGTTGAAATAGATCTGTTTTGAGAAGTAATACTAATTTCTTCAAAGCAAGCAAATCCTTCTTTCTAAATTGTGTGGGTTTTTTGTTGTTGTTTTGCTTTTAGAACTTGAAAGAAGAGAGATACTTTTTGGAAGTATCTTTCTTTCTTTCATGATTATAGTCTTAACTCATGGTGAATGATTTAGGCTGTATTTGTATCCAAGTATTAGTTTTTTCAGGTCTTTAGTTACGTGAATTTATTACCATAACAAAAACATTTTAAAACATTGATGCTTCTGCCTACTGGGACTTTCAAGCATATTCTCTGTATGAATATTGTCCAATTTGAGAATCAGAACATTATTCTTAATATCCTTAGGTTTCTTATGTTAGCTTGTGCACTGTTGATTCTATGCTTATACATTTTAAAGATGATGATTTCCAGTGGTTTCCTAGGATATGTTCAACAGCAGCGAGGCAGAAAGCTCTGAAATTGCTTTTGAGACCTTTTCTACTTCTAGTGGAAACACTTACACAGTTCTTGGAGCTGAAGAGGCAGGAAAGACTGACATCCCGGAGACTTATTTTACAAGATATGAAAAGAAAGAATCACTTCCTGTGTACCTGAAACACGTATTTATCAAAGAAACCATGTTTGTCGAGCTGAAGAAATGGTTAGTAGAAAACAGTTTATGTTCTTTCTTTCCCTTTAGGTAATAGATACATTTCAGCTGTTTGGAAGAAATAGTCGACTAAAGATGCAAAAATTATCTAATTATTTTAATGTTAGTTCTTTTTTAAAATTATAAAGATAAAATAAAATTTTTACATTGCTTTTCATCCATGGCTCTCAAAGTACCACACAAGCGTTTACTTCTAACAGAACATTCATATTTTACAGAAAATTTAGCAAGAAACCATATTACAGAAAGGCAAGTAATTTGCCCAAGGTAAAATGCCTGTTTGAGCTGGGTGCATACTACTGAGTAAAACTCTACCAGTACAGTGCAAATGGTAATGGAACCGTATCTTCCTATAGTCAGAAGTTAAATTATTAGAATTTCTTATTTATTACTTACTGTTCCTCACTATATTTATTTTTTAATCATAGCATTCGTCTCTGCTTTTTTGAACACTTGGAGAAGTGGTTTGCACAGTCCTCATCCAACTCCCATGTCATTATGGCTGCCAAGAAAGAGGAGCTGAATTCACAGTTTCAGCAGCGTCTTCACTTGCATCAACAAAGGCAGGAGGATATACAGACAAATATCTACGATGTTAGAGCTGGTACCAACTTTTTTTACTCTGAGCACTACATGTCTTCATTTAGAGATGATCATAAGTGGATCAAAATCTGTTTCAGCATTAGTTGACTCAATAGTAGAGAACAGCAGGAGAGAGTTGAGTCTCTACTGATTCCTAGTATAATGTTACTCATATATTTTAAGGGAGATGTTTATCTTCCATAGCATAATCCAGTATATGCCGTGTTATGTTTAGAAAATACCCAGCACTGCCTTGATCAATGACTTGATTATAAAAGCAACATTCTTCTTGAAACTATTTGACAAGAGTTTGCAGTGTACAAAGAATAATTTTTAAAGTGTTGCAGAAAAAGTACTAGCAAGTGTTGAGAGAGACAAAATACCAGGGCTTGGCTTCTGAATACAAGAAAGGAAGGAATTAGCTGTGTGAAATATCATGGAGCAGCTACAGATTGGCCACTAAGCAGAACTTTTTTTTTTTTAAATGTATGAGAAGTGTCAGGTTTTTCTGGTGGAAAAATATGATTTAAGACAAGTTTGTTGGTCTTTAACATATACACTAAAAAGTTCTCTTTTGGGAGAACAAGAAAATAATTTTCCAATTCCACCTTTTCTTGCAAAGTGGACAGGTGCCTTTTCTGGCAGTTTTCTTGAGGTTGGTTGGCTGGCTGGCTCTTGATTTATCCAACTATCATTCCAGAAAAATTATTTCTCTTCCCCCCTACCCCTCCCCCCCAAAAAAAATAGGGAGAAGTGTATTTTCTGTTAAAACAAACAAACAAAAACCATCCAAAAAAACCAACCCAACCAACCAAAACAAAACCTTTACCGTTATTTTTGTTACAAGACTGAAAACAGAGAAAATGGAGATGTCAGCAGTGACCAAAAATAAAGGGAAAAGAGGGCTTAGAGTAAACAAAAGACGTTTGTGATTTGGATGGATTAGGAGCTGCCAGGGACATCTGTCAAACACAGGATAAAAGTCAAAGAAACAGAATCAGATGTGGTTTAGTTGTATGTTTTAGCCGCTGAGATCTGGCTTGGATTATTTTACTGCTGCTTCTGATAATAGCTTGGCTGGTGGTTGTAATAGTCCACAGTGAACAGAGAATAGTGACCATATTGTAATGTTTCTTATCAGCGGAACTGTTGCTTCACAAAGAGCATCTGCAGTGCCACTGTACAGGGTTGGAGGAAGCACTGGACAAGGAGAAAGCTGAATTTCACAGATTTTGGAAGCAGCAAAGTAACATCAGCAACAACTTACATTCACGAATCCGTGACATGGAATCTGTGTTCCTCAGCGCTCCTATGAGTGACAAGTAAGTGTGCACAGGTGTTGCTGGCTGTGACCTTCTGTAGTGAAATACTCCTGATTGCTGTCTGAGATGTTTGTGGTTTGTGTTTTGAATCTATCTTATGTGGCATTACTCTTCAGTGAAGACTGCTTAATGAAACTTTAAAAAAATGTCAAGAATCTTTTCTTTCCTTTATCTCTCCCTGAAGAAATTAAAATCAGGACTGAATGGATGACAATTTTCATCTATTTGCAAAGTACTGGCACTCTTAAAGTAGAAAAGATGTTTCATCTGTTTAAGTTTCATCCAGTTTACTGAAACTGCACAGTAATAGCAATTAACTAATTGGTTTGAAGGGCACTCTTCAATAACATCAACTGCTTGCTGACAGTGTTCATCAAAATAATCATAGTTCAATGAGTTTCAGAATACTAAGACACTCTTGAGCTCTCAGATTTTGTGCATGTCTTTACAGCCAGTAGTCTCTGAATCACATGTGCTCCTCTTTCTATGTATTTTCTCTATCTTTTATTTTTTGCTGTTAGGTTAGTGGCTCTCAACAGCAGTCTGCACGCAGAGCTACATAATCATTTGGAACAGATCCAGGTTTCCCTGAGGAGTTACCGCGACTGTTTGGGGGAAGCTTTAGAAAAATTAAGGGATTCAAATGTGGATTTTCTCAGTGCTTGCAGGTATAGAATTTTCATTGGAATGTTGTTTATAAATAGGTACCTATTTCTGGGCATCACTGTTTGTTGCATAGGCAGAACAGTAACATTAAAGTTTATTTTGTTATTCATCTAGTTTGCTATTTGAAAAAAAAACCACCAAAAAACTAAATTAACTAAACCACAATTATTATACTGTTTTCATCACATTTGTGTTGATACCTATGGTTTAGGACTGCTTAGCTAAAATAGTTTTTGAGAAAAGGAGGACTCATAACCAATTGCTTTTATCTTGCTGGTTGCTTTCAGATTATTTTCGGAGGGAGGTAACTTTTCTCCTAAGGAGGTAAAGTCTTTCAGCAGGCGTCTTCAGAGAGAAAGTAAGCGTATCAACTCTTTTGAACATTCAATCCAGAGAGTTCTACTGAAAAAGGAATCGAGATGCTTGCAGCAGGTGTGCAGAGTTTTGTTCTTTCAAATTATGTATTATATTGGCATATTTGGTGTGATTTATTGTCAGCCTGCTCCCAGCTTGGGACTTTAAGACTGTTCTGTGTGACAACTACACGATGGAAAAAATAAGTAGAAATTATAAGTTCTATTACTTAATCTTTAAAAATTAATTAGTTCTGTCTCTTGTTTCTGGTTTTCTTAAAGGCTACTGAATTCATCAACCAGTCTCAAACAAAGTTCAATTATCTCTTTATGAGTCGAGTTTTCATGGAGAAGATCCAAAAATTTTTGAAAAATCTACAAGTGCAAATCAAAGCAGAGGTACAAACAGAAACATTAGAACTTATTTAAATGAATTATAATTATTTTAATCTTTTATTCAGTTGAAGAGATTTTTGGCTGAATTCAGAGTGGACAAGCATTAAGTAACTTCTTATATTAATTTAAAATCAGTTTACTGTCATTATCAACTTAAAGCTGTGTTTTCACTACTGCTGCAGCTATGCTGGAACACTGTGCAGCACGTTGAGTATGTACATCTGAATAGACCAGCATTTTTGTGGGGTACAGTAAAGGACATGAAGTTTTGCTTTTGTGAATTATTGTTTTCAGCTTTTCCTCTGAGTACCAGTGATTGAGTGTTTTTACCAGCAAGTCCAATAGTTTCAAAGTGGAGCCTCTGGAAATCCCTTGAATGGGATTTCAATTCACCAATATCTGCTTCTGCTTTAGGTGGCAAAGTCCAGTTTGCAGGCAGCGACATTAAACTCTTATATGGAGAAGCTCCATCAGAAGATAGATGCTTGTGCTTATCCTACTGCAGATAAAGAAGTAAGTTCTAATCAGCATGAAATTGTATTTAATTTTACTTGATATTAATTTGACTCACTGTGCATGCTTGTATAATGCATAAACTAATCTTTTTGTGGCATTTGTGGAGTGGGTGGAAAGAATTTTTACTCAGGAATGTCCTGTACCTGTTTTCCTGTTTGCAGAGCAAAACCCTCAGCCTCTGTATGATCTCATTCCTTCCATGGATGTGTAAATAAAATGGTGACAGAGTCAAATTATGTTGTGTGCAACGGTCAGCATATTTGAAAAGTTTTGAAATAGCTAGTTTAGTAAATAGCATCTGTATTATCATACCTTTCAGGCTTTGACTTCTGAAGAGTTGTATGAGTTTGCTAAAGTGGTGTTGAAAGAACTGAAAAAGAGGAGCCAGTATCTTGACTGCTTGCTCATAAAAGCAACGCAACCACATGCTAACGTAAGATGGCATTTAAGTTCTCTGTATTTTATTTAATGTTGAGTGTATATGTTTTAAAGGTTTTCAGAATCTGTGCTTTGAATTTTCAAATGAAAGATGCTGCAAGTCACTGTAACATTAGGTCAGCTTTTTTAAAGAGACTAAATCAGTCACCACCAAGTTTACTGAAAGTTAAAGATGCACAGCGTCTCAATGAGTTACTCAGTCCTTCATGAGAGTTTATCTTCAAGGTGTAGCCCTATTCATAGATACATATTTCATGGGTTTATTTTTATAATAATAATAATGATGATAATAATAATAATAGTGTCCTGAGGTTTTGTGTTTTGGTTTTGTGGTTTTGTTTTGGTTTTTTTTTCCTTCCTTGTCTGGAAAGTCTGCCTTTATTTTGTAATCTACAGTGGATCATTGTTTTAAGGATATATACTTAAATACTGCTTATGTTAATTATGAGTATGCTCATAACTACTTATAAGTATCTCAGAGTTATATAGCTGTAACAACATTACTACTAGAATTATAAAACAAACTTCCTTTCATCTTGTGAAACACAATAGCGTGTGTTTAGAAGATCTGCATTTGTAATCAGTAACGACATGTAATGCTTTCACTAATTGCCTGCTACAGTCAACAGGGTTTTGTTTTATTTCCCATTTCAGGAGGACCTTACCCCTCTTGCAAAGGATGTTACGTTACAAGGTCCAATTGCTGCTGACATTCAAACAAAGTTTCTCAGAGATGAGAACAATACGATGGTGATGGGACTGGATCCTGTCAAATTTCCATTGTTAAATCCAAGCAGAAGGGGAAAGTCTGCACTTAATGATTTATCAATAAGCTTTATCAAAAATTTACTTGAGTAAGTACTTGTTTTACCTAAAAAAAAAAATACTCCATTTTGAGTAGTAAGAGACATGTTTTTAGCTATTAGCTTATCATAATGCTATGGTTAATAGCATTATGATAAATCTTAGGTATTAAATTTTTGTCTTTTATATTATTGTCTTACTCAAAAGGTGATTACATGCTACATGGTTGACTGAACATACAAAGTATGAAATGAGCGGTATGACAAGTGTGCGATTTGCAAATAGATATTTTAGTGCACAGCTTTGCCTGTAGAAATTCTGCAACTCCAGTTAAACAATTAGTTTCTCAGTGAAAGTCCTTATGTTTACGCTGTGAGATGTAAAAGTAATTCTGTTAAATATTATCCCAGAAATTTAACTGCACTTAGCACATGGTAGGGATAGAGAATTTACATAATTCTCAGTATATAATATAGTATATAATATAAAATGGCAGGATATTCAATAGCTGCTTAGCTCTTTTTTTTGTTTGTTTGTTTCAGCCTTCAGCAGTCCGGAAGATCTTCAGACCTAAATCAGAAGATAAATTATCGCCCGTGTTCATTACAAGGTTTCCTAGCATTTCTTTGAATATATTACATTCATCTAAATTGCAGGTCCTAGCATATCACTGCATGTTCCAGGGCAGTGGTTTATATGCTAGCTCTGAGAGAGTTCAGCATCCCAACCTTTTTCTTGGATATCTTTATTTTGTAATAATATGATTTAACCAATGAAAGCTGCAGAATGAGATAATAATTTTATAAAAAGCACCCATATTTGTGATAGCAAAAGGTAAAAGAGGTGAAGAAAATAATTAGATGTCATGAAAATATGTATGGGATCAGAGATCCTTCTTACAGTATGTTATCATTCACTCAAAGGTTGAGTGCAGAGGTAACCCCAACAGCTCCCTGCCTAGCGTTTCCATTTCCTCATCTCTTTTCTCCAGAGCTTATCTCCTCCAGCCACTTCCAAAGACGTCCTCCCTCTAACTTCCACATTCCTAAGCCCCTATCACAGCCAAGACTATGAATGTAGCCCCCTTCATTCTCCTTCTTATTCCCTGCCTCAATGTTGTTTTAAATCTCCCCCCATCTACCACGTATTTTCTATGATATTCCCATTACTTGTGCCCCAGTCACAACTTTATTGCTGTTGTGGCCACTGGATGACTTCAGTTCCCTCTGCCAGAAATGAATATTGCTACAGTTGTCCCCTTAAAGTTGTAAGTAAACGTTATAGAAATGAGAACACAAGCTATCTAACCATATAAAAAAGACTTCAGTTGGCATTTATACAACGTTCTTCATCTTTCCTTTTCACTTCGATGTCGGTCTTAAAGGGTCTCGGAACTCTGCTGCTTGCAGGAATATGACTCAGAGCACCAGGACGGTATCTTATAAAAAAATGACGTCAGCAGAAAGGTAAGACCTCCAAAAGGAGGAATTTCACTTATAATATTCCTATGCAGAAATTTACCTAAACTTTGTCCACTGCCTGTTCTTTGAAAAGTTTTTATTAGACTTCTTTTCATCTATGCCTATCATTTGGGATCTCTTCCCTGTTTATGTCCTCATGATCAGCTCTGCATTTTTTTTTCAGACTTTAGCTGGAAAAACACTTTTCTCCTTTATCTGGTGTTATCATGTGTTTTGAAGCTTAGTTCATAAATAGATGAAATGAGTTACTGTAGTGGTGAAATAACAGAGAAGTTTTGAAAAGCCACTTAGGAGAGAATCCTGAGAATTTTTTTCCACCAAAAAATATTTTAATGTAATAATAGTTCTGGTGTTATGTTTCTCCCATTTTTTCTTCAGTTTCATTTCTATCGTGTGACTGATTAGCTCAAATAATCAGTCAGAAGTAAAATAGTTGTGGGTAGTTTGAAATTAATGTTTTGCCTCCCTAGGATGCAAAAATGCAGAAAAAAACATTTCCTTTTTTTTTTTCTTTTTTTTTCCCCACAGACAAAGTCTCAGGATAAAGAACTTCCAGATATTTGGAGAGAAGCCTCCAGAATCTGGGTAAGTCATGTATATTTGCACAAATAGAAGTTAATCTGCAAAAAAATTCCCCCTTCCTATCTATCTACCTATCTATCTATCTACCTATCTACCTATCTATCTATTTATAATCGGGAAGTATAGAGTTCACCATTGAATTTTGAGATATTTAACCTTGATATTTATGGGTCAAGGTGTTTACAGAACAGTTCCTTTTTGCATCATAATAATAGTGAATATAAAAGCCATCCATTTTATTCTGTTTAATATCTGAAATGGGTGGCCTCATCAAAGCCCATTTTGTACATTTACAAAAAATGTGCTGGAAAATGTAAAATAGCCTCTGTCTTTCAGCTATTTCACCTCTGAGAAGATCAGTAAATGTTATATGCTACATTCTTCTGCTCGATACTACAACTATATTAATAAAAAAGGAGTAAACTGTTTAGGAGGTGATTTTTAAATGGTTCCATTTTCCTTCTCAAATAAAATGATAATATTTTTTCTTGATATTTGCAGTTGTACTATATCGAATTGAGATATTTCATATGTGCCATGCAAAATTATTAAAATTAATGCCTAAGATGCTTGAGTGCTTGGGAATTTATTTCCACATTGTGTTTCAAAATACTTTCAGTAACCATAGACCCACCTTGAAATATTTTTGGTTTATCTAAAATGTGTGCTAAGCTCTCAAGGTAAGCTTTCAGCATAGGAAGTTGGCTAAGATTGCCTTTTGTGTTCCTGGGGTGCTCTCCAGTAAGCATTTACAATAGCTCAGAGTCCTTGCTGCTTCTGAGGAGAATATGTACCAATGGGGATGAAGGTTCTTAGGCATTCTGAATATTTGCTTGTGTATGCTCTGAAAAATGTGTTCAAATAAACCTGAACAAAAGATTTTAAAACCAGTAAATACTACCAATGTGATAATTTTACAGTGTGATTGTATTATTTTTTTTTAAATTTTGTTTGTTTTCAGTACTTTTAAGGGGATTATTATGAATCTTCTCTGGACGGGTAATAACAACTTGCTCTGCCTTGCTGAGGTAAGAAAACCCAGTGTTCTTCAGTTACTTTTGCTTTCAAAGGCCTCCTCCTGTGTCAGCTAAATAAATCGGTTCTTTACAATGTTTGGATGGCCATCCAAAATTTTTCTTCCTTCACCAATGCATCTAATTTTTAAACAGTATTTGACGCAGTGTATTTTTAATCATGTGCTTCTTTATAAATATTACCTAAGCATTTCTGAATCAGAGGAAGAAAACTGGTCTCAAATAAGAAGGTGTTGATAGCCTTATGTATCCTTACTACTGTTACATGCCTAGATGTGACTTGTTTGAACATGTTATCAGCAACTTTGCTGTTTTATCTTTACCTCCTGAAGGAGTTCTACAAAAAAAAGAAAGCTCAAATCACAATGCCTGAAGATTTGCCAAAGACATTTGAACGTTGTGCAGAAATGCTCAAACAGAAACTGTTGTCATACCAAAATCAGGCAGATGTTTACTACAATTCCTGTCTTACAGGTAAATTCATTCAGTTGCGACTTTTTATTTCTTGTGTATGTAATGTTTCAGTTATGCAAACCGAAAATGGCAGCGATTGAAAATTATGTCATCTTCTTAATGCACGGCAGTCTGTGATTTTACTGGAAATTGGGCCGATTTTCACTTTTATATATTAGCAGCTACAAAAAGTATGGCAGAAGGGCACTTGATTAAAGTTGAAAGACCTGTACAAGGTAACATCTTTTAGCAAATGTATGTTTCTCAAAGCATTGGACCTAGAAAAAGGAATAGCTGGGACAGAATCTCTGTCAGAGAGAATTCCAGGTTGTTTTGACCCTTGCAGCGTACATTCAACTCGGCTGAGTATTTAGTTTTGGTTTTTTTCCTCGCAATGAATACTTCTATGTCACATAAACACCCTGTCTTTTCCAAAAAGAATTTCAAGATCAATTGAAATTGCTTGAGAAGGAGCTCCCTTATGTCTCCCAGTTGGCAGTGGATAGTCTTTTAAAAGAACACAAGCAGAAGCTCAGCTATTCCACTGGTCAGATTCGACACCGCTTCAATAAGCAGCTGGAAAACTGGGAGAGTATGAAGGTATGTATCATGGGCAGATTGGAATGCTTTCAGTGTAAGCAATCCTAAATGCATCGGAATTATACAATTTTCTTTTTATGAGCCTCACTGTTTGCTTAATCAATCACTGCTGAGCTAGCCACAGATTTAGTGTCTGTGTTTGCAGTTAGTCTGTGTAGTTCTACTGGAAGCTTTGTATTTCTAGTAGCTCAGTCCCTTCTCTCACTGCTTCCAACACTGGGCTGCCCCTTTATAATCTTGTACAGTTCTGCCTGTCATCTTACACTTAGATTGTAAGCTCTTTAAGGGTTGTGACATTGCAGTATGACTGTACAGCTCATATACTGTATGGGTGTGCTCGTTTGTAGGTACTGTGACGTGCAGATAATGAAATATCATTATTTACTATCTTTCAAATAGAGGTATATTTTGTTCAGTAATATCAGAACTGGTAACAGAATCATAATGGAGAACATGCAGAAAATGTTAGAGAGTAGTATCTTGAGATTTTGTCCGAGTATTAAGTTAAATTCAGGGAAAAAATGTAAATATAGAGATATAAAAAATATCTTGTTTACCACTTGGTAGGAGAGATTGTTATTTGTTGAAAACAAAAACCTAGGTGAAATCAGAGGCCCTCTTCTCTAGGAGACAGGTGGTTTGGTATATTCTGCACTGCAAGGTTTATCTCCATACAGCCAAGGAATGTATTGAATTTTATTTGTCTTTCTGAATGTTTTTGTATTTTAAAATGTGTGGGTTTTACTTCTTCCTCATTATCACTCAATTTCATAGTCTTTACTGAAGCCATTCCTTTCTTATGTATTTATTTAAAGGCGGTGCACAAGAATCAATTACGCCCCTCTCTGGGGCGCCCAGACAACTTAGTTCACTTGGATGCTTTGTGCCAAGAGGAAATAAAAAGGCAAAAAGACCAAGCTGATGGTATTCATCTCAACACACAGATGCTGCAGGTAATTGTAAAGCCATTGCTTAATATGAACTTAGGTGTTGCATTTGAAAAGAAGAGTACATCTTGGATACATTTTTCCTCCCCATCAAAAATAAACTGGAAAATGTTTTCAATTTTGGCCAATCCTGTTCATATATCTTTTAACTTTTCAGTGATACATTATCAGCATTAGGTCAATATATGCATAAATGCATATACACATGTACACATGCGTAGATTCATTGTGGAGCAAACTGATCTTTTGCATCATTCATAGAACATACTGAGGAAGAGATGACTGATCTCTTAATGGTAGAATTATTTGATATAAGTTTAAACAGTGACATCCTCTGGTTAGTTATATTACTTGCAGACAACAGATACCTGGAGGGGTTTCTTCTGTGTGCGTTTCGTTAGTGCAAATAATTGACATTTTTCTACACAAGGTTAAAAACTGGAAGAAGCAGAATTTTACAGGGGAGATGCAGGAATCGGAACGCTTCTACTGCTCCATCCTCTAGGGTTATTGAGGGTCAGTCCCCCAGTATTAAAGCTCTTTGTTTACTTCTCTCAGGCCACTTATGTGAAATTCTGTGCTGTATGCAGCACATATATATATACATATTTATTTATTTATTTCCAGAGTAATATCTCCTTCTCCTCTCAGCTCTGTATACGCACACAGAAACACACTTACCCTATTTTAGAATAATACCTGGCCAAAGCACTTCTACCCAAGGTACTTATATTCCAAAACGGCTTTTGCTTTTGAGCTTTACAGGTAGCTGGTTTTATCAGGTTCAGATGCTTAACCCAAATATTCAACTACTAGGGAACTATACACAGAACTCTATAGCTTTTTGTCCTTTACCTTAGGTGATCAGGTAGTGTTGAGAATACTGCAGAGAGGCACTTTCAGACCTTTTTATGTGCAACTTAGAGCTTTATGTCTGTTATCTGCAGCTGTTACCTCTTGCAAAATGCCAAGGTTAGGTACTTGTGTATTTCTTTTGGAGCTAAATTAAAAGGAGAGAAGATCAAATTACCAAACGAATTCCCCTTACTTGTCTCCAATGTCCCAACAGAACTGTGCTGCTGAGTGTGCTCAGAACTTTGTTTCTGCGCTAGCTGCCTTCACTGAAAAGCTGCTTTTGGAATTAGATGAAAGTGTCACTATTGATGATGTACAAGTAGCAAGTAAGTAAAGAAGAGATTGCTTCCTCAGCCCTCCACTTCCTTCTCAAAGATTGCAGCAGGCTTTCCTTAGGAAGAGGAGACTTTTATATGCTATAGTAATTTAAATGGAAAGATTTGCATGGTCAATCATGCAAAGTTATTTCTTGAGAGTGAAGAGCACCTGGCTGCATAGTCACTTTAAAGCAATGGTATTACTGCTATTGTTTTGTTGCTGCTGAGTCTATCTTCTGTTATCTCCCAGAAACTGAAATACCAAGAGAGAACACATCCACTGTAATCCGCCATGAACAAGCTGGACTTCCTCTAGAAATCTGTGAAGTTAGACAGTTAAAGGGACGTGGCAGCAGGTAATATTTGAAGATACTGAACACTGTTCTATGTAATTTCTTTAAACTGGTGTCAGATACTTTCTTCTGAGTTTCTTGCTGTACTTGTTGAAATTGCTGAATATTATGCTCGTCATTGGTAATGTCATCTAATGAGTTATGGGGCAGTTTGGGTGGGTGATGGTTTTAAAGAAAGAATAGCAATGGATCCAAATAAATAAAAGCGAATCACGTATTGTACTGTAGAGCAATACATTTTCAATTTTATTGCTATAATACTTTGCTAGCCACAGTTTCTCAATTCAGCACTTTCAAATCCATGAATATACTGTGTATTTTCACTCAGAAGATATGAATTCTATTTACTGTGCAGAGACCCTGAAGTTTTAAAAGAAAAGGTGGTTATACTAAATAAGGTAGTTTTTAGGATAATCTTTTTGTGGAGATTAAAAAACATTTAATCTTTTGCACTTTAAGTACAGGTAACATGTATTGGTACAATCTGTTCTCTTTTCTAACTTCTTCTTTCTAACTTTCTTATGTGGCTTGTTTGGTTTCTTTAAAGGACTTGGCCAGGAATACCCAAGACTACTCTTACAGACAATTCAGACTATATTCTTTGCAAAGAAACCGCATCAGTTAGAACATCTAAGACTACACTGGGCCATGTAGCAGCAATAGAAGCAAGAGATGCTGCATATAAGGTTGGTCTGTGGGAAAGGACCATTAGTGGGGCTGCTACTCTGTCGTGGATTTATTTTTTTTTAAATAAAATTATAGCGATGTATAAATTTTTAATATACACAGTGTTTTCAGATCTTAAAGCCATATTCACTGTGTGTAGAAATCCTCTCTTATGTCCATTTCTTTGTGATGTTGTTAAAAGCAGACAGTTGGTTTTTCAGGGAGCCCTCTCATTCAGACACATTACAATGGGAAATTGTTTCAGCAAAGCAGCATGGATGGTATCAGAAATAGGATACTTCATGCACTTCAGAAGCATCACAATTCAAAAAGTAGCTGCTGCCACAGTGTCATTTCAATGCAGCTTGCTTTCACACACCTTTCTTTCTAAAGTCTGCAGCTCTAGCCTTAGATCACAAAGGCTGATTTTTTTTTTTTTCCATAAAAGGTGAGGGGCTGTGAGATCATACCTGTCTTACTTCCTCAATCATCACCTATCATTGTTTCCAACATAAAAATGCCACTCCTTCTTCACTAATTCACATTCCAGACAACTCTGAGACTCACTTGCACTGACAATAGCTTGTGAATCAGTAGTGTTCAGCAATTAGGAAAATATTCATATGTTTAATCATTTGGAAACAAATGGTCAGTGTTTATACCTCTGTCCTGGAAGTAATCATACCCCCAGTGTTCATAGAGTTCTGTTGTCAAAGGCAGAAAATAAGTGGCTGAATGCAAACTTCTGACACAGTAGATCAGGAACTTGGTTTAGGCAAAGTAATTATATTTCACCACTACCAATCTTGTCCTTTATTATTGTTGTTGTTGTTGTTGTTGTTTATACAGAAATACAAATGTAAACTTGAGCAGCAGTTTGCCCAGATCAAAGAAGAAAATACAGCTCAGCTGCGGACAATTCAGCATTGGGAAGATTGGTGGAAACAATCTGTCCAGAAGATTAAGCAGCTCTATACATGAGAACAGTAAAATCTTGCTGGTGTCCTGATCATTGTTGGTGTCAACTGTCAAGTTTGTACTAATGTCAGTGATGTTACTGAACAAGCGCAGTGGTGAAAGAAGCTAATTTTTGCCTCTTGAAATAAAAAAAATCTGACGAATGTGCTTTAAGTTAAATGTAGACTCTGTGCAGTGCTTCCTAGTTGGATCTCAGCCAGAGTGAAGTTAACTCATTATGGTGCTAGCTGTAATACGAGAATCTGAAAAGCTATATATAAGCCCGAGCAGTGGATTTGTACTGAAGTTCATGTTCAAGACTCAGGCATGATGGAATATGTCTGTGCCGTGGCACAGTCTGAAGTTATAATAGTTAACAGCAGCCTGTTTAATAATGGAGTTCATCAAGGAAATGTTTTCTCACCACACATGAAGCCCTTCCCACGGATATCCTGTCTATGGTTCACGTTCTGAACAACACTGTAGTCACAGCTTGCTACTTCAGTTTTAGAAATCTGAAATAAAAGTTTAGAAATCTGAAATAGTCGATCTGCAAAGAATATTTTCCACAGAATGGTCTACAAGTGAGGTATTTATCAGCAATCTAGAATGCTTTTCGAGGCAGGGCTTGAAGATAAAGTACTGCTTTGTTCTGGGAGGTCAAGCAAGTTCATTTAGGAGTAATATAGCTACTTTCAACTGCATCGTGCTCTGAACAAATTCAAGGAACCTGAGTAACTATTAAAATGCTTTAGCCATTTTTCTGTTTGTTAGGAGATTCTGTCACAAACTGCAACCTCATCTGTTTCATTTTTTGTTTACATTTATTGTGAACCCTGAAGTTGTAAATTAGTTGAGGACAAATATGGTAAATGTCAATGAGATGGTTTTAGATGCAAGGAGAGGTTTTGAACTCATCTGGCCTCAGTGTTCTTGCAGGTCTGTAACAGATAAACTGAAGAAAGAGGAGAATGCAGCAGCTGTGCTCCAAATGATGTAATATTTCAAAATATGTGTATTACTTTTCCTGAGGGATTAGATGTTTAGTCTGTAAAGCACATGGAAGTACACTATGCCTATTATAATAGATGAAACTGCACTAAAATAACCAGAATGCCCATGTCTTTATTATTATTGTTATTCTGTGTTAATTTTACTATTCAATGTGAAGATAACTTTTGTTCTCTTCTATCTGTTCATTATTCTCTGTCCTGCTCCATCATCCAAGATCTGTGCTATCACTTTCTATATGCCATGGCAATAAGTGCATGAGGATGGGCAAGTGCAGGAAATGAGACTCCCCAGGAGACTGTCTTCAAAGTGGTACTGTCTTATGTTTTCATTTGTGCTTTGGGGGAAAAATCTGAGAGGATGTTTATGAAATTAGAAAGTGGTATCAAGCTGGGAGGGGCTGCAAGCACAATGGAAAACAGAATTCAATCACGGCTTGATGCTTTAGAAAAACAAATAGCCTGACAATGGAGTACAATTCCATAAAGTCAGGTACAAGGCTTTATATGTCATAGAGCTGGCTAGGAGAGGTTCTGCAGAAAACATGTAGATTACGTTTGGCCACAGGTTGAATGTCATCACCAGTGCTGTGGTCTTGCAAAGTAGGCAAGTGTCATATAGGAATGTAGGAACTGTCATAGCATTTCAGTTTTGTGGAGTAATCTTGCTTTGCTTAATACTG